AAAAAAAAAAAGATCACGTCCTCCGAGGCTCTGGCCTGGCTCTAGGCCTGGGTAGTCCATGGTAGTTAGCGACAATACGGAGCCGATGGTAACTCTGGAGGACGGCACCCAGGCTACCGAAGCTCCACGACTCAAGAGCATACGTACAACGCCGATTCATAAATTCCGCAAAAGCCCAGCATGCGCAGGCTTGTAGTATACGTCGCTATGTACTGCCGCAAATTCACAATACCAGCTTTGTATTCCTATGGTTTAGTAGCATTTTTATTTTTGGCCGGAATTTTTTTTTATTCGCCCGCGCGCACTAGTTTGGGGGTCTTCAGAGGATGCCATCCATAAGATTAAGTCGGTGTGGCCTAATCATTCCCACCTGCCCTGTTAGCTTGCGTGATACCATAATGTCGTCTTACTGGATTTGTGCACGATTATCGTCGAGACAACTCATTCCAATGTTGACGTCGACATTTGTAACAAGGTATAACTGTCACAATAAGATTGACAACCAGTTTGAACAGAACTCGAGATAATAATGGTTTATCTTCCGGTCTGGTCAGTATTGTCCAAAGTTCTTGTCGACACCAAAGACTACCTTTCTGATGATCCTATAGCTACGCTGTTGGTATTCAACAAGCTTTTTGAATTCCTTTTCAATCACAAGTGTTATGTTGATAGTCTACACCAGACTCCTTTGTACTGTAGGCTGAATAAATAGTAGAAATCGGCCTAAAAAGTTTGCAAACTGGACCCTCTATGAACGGCTAACCCCACTGGTCAGCTACATTCTTTTTACAACAAAGAATCTGTCATTACTAGTACTGTAACTTAAATGAGATTGAAGACGAGAGTCATTTTATTATGGACTGTACTCTGTATGATAATGAGAGAAAGATTCTCTTCAATTGTATACAAGATTAATTCCCAAGTTTTAGAATTTTAGATAGAAAAGAAAAATTCACATACCTCATGAAACTCGATAATCCTCGTATTATAAGCTCCATATGTTCTTACAATCACAATTAAGAAGCAAGAAGAAGCAGAACCTGTACATATGTAGTTTTACTATAGATACATTTTAGTCTACCATTGCTGTTTACCATGACCTGTGCTTAGTTCGAATGAGCAAAAATGTACAATAAAGGTCTTTCATTCTTTCTTTTTAGGTCGATTTCTACTATTTCCTCAGCCTGCAAAGAAAGGAGTCTGGTGGAGACTATACTATTGCATCTATAGACAGATACGGCCAGATCATCACGTTGCTCGTGCTGATGATTATGTGCAAAACAAATAAACAAACAAACAAACAAACAAAAAACATGACGTACTTTTGTAACCCTAGCAGCAGCAAGAAGAACTTCTCTGCATTGCCTAGCTTCTCTCTGTCACCGGTGTAAGACTCCAGCAGCTCGATCTGTTGGTAAAAATGACATGGTCTTCAACAGGAGCATCAACATTTTTTTCTATCTCAACATTTATTAAAAAAACACGGTGACGGAAGAAGTTTTTTACAACTTATATTTATGTCGCCACCAACGCACGAACGGGCAACAGACATACTCATTTTCACCTGAATTAAGTGAGGAAATTCGTGGCACAAGGGCACAAGATCGGTGGCGTGGCAGGGTTCGAACTCGGGACCTCTTGGTTCCGAGCCGAACGCTCTGTCATTACGCCACACGACCCAACACCAGTTACTCGCAGGCATCCGTCATTTCTTTCAGGCTCAAAGAATGACGATACGTGTGACATCAGTACATCGTATAGTCTCAACACAAAGACAAGCTTAAATGGCTTAATTCTGCCACTGTGTATAAATCCCATCGGTGGAGTAGTGCACCCAGGTTGTCTCCATCGATAATCTCTTATTACCATTCCCCACCCTTTTCCGTTGACCTGTTTGATACTTTAACGTCATTTCAATGTCTACAGGCTTAGGCCACAGCAAGTAAATTTTATGGATGACATCCTCCGCAGACTCCAAATCTAATGCGAGCGGGCGAAAAAAAACAAGGCGGGCCGAAGAAACAAGGTTCATACATTCTCAGATTTTGACTCAACCATTTTACAAACGGTTTTGATTCAGTGGGAACAGCACATATACACAGCCAGCATCACATATCACTGCTTCAAAGTAAGAAACAAAACATTAAATCAGAGCCTTGTCTTGTCTCCTCTCTTCATACTTATCTGCCATCCACCTTCCGGCATGGCAACAGACATCGTCACCCATTTTCGGTAAGTTGACTACTGTCAGAAGGCAACAAAATTTCTTGTTTTTTTTTTTTTTTTCAAAACAGGCGAAAATTAATGCGCGCGCTGATGTCATCCATAAAAATTACTTGCTGTGGCCTTACCATTGATTAAACCTACCTGGTTATCGTCAACTATTGCCTTCTCCCAACCCACCACCGTCATAGTAATCATGCTGATAACTACTGTTATTATCATCATTATCATCATCACTGCCAATTTTAAATGTTATTTTCATAGTTTCTACGTGCATCATCTTCAAACCGAGATTCTTGCTTGTGGAAAAAAACATGTCTTACCAATCGCCAAATTTTAACAGCCAATAGCAAATTGTAAAAAAAAATAAATAAAGCTATACCTCATAATTTTGTTATTACGCATTTTTTATATTCGAATTGGGAAGTTCTTGTTTCATTTTGATGACTGAGAATTCTGACGATAACAGTAGTACTATAAGGCCATGTTGATTTGATTATATGGATGACATCCTCTGGGAACCCCAAAATTGATGCGAGCGTGCGAATAAAATAATTTGGCAAAAAGAAAGTTGCTTTCAACATGACATCTACGTGATCATGAAGGTTGAACAACAAACGACACAGAGTATGGTATGACGAATAATCTAGTCTTCAAATTCATTTCTTTACATTTTCGTCTTTTTCGTTTGATTTTGACATTCTACGACATTGGTATAGTTTTCCGATATTTTTTTGGCAACTTACGGTATATATTTTCTTATTTTGCAACTGTTTTGTACGATTTACATTATTATCTTTTAACTGCGTCAAGAAACGAGAAGAAGTTGAACCTGTAAATAGTAGACCACATCAGTATTATATAGTATGTAAGTGTCATTGCTGTATTCTTTTCCCTGTTTACCCATGACCTGTACTTAGCTTGTTAGAGCACAAACGTACAATAAAGGTCTTTCATTCATTCATTATGGTTGAAAACTTTTGTTTTTTTAAACGGCCGAAAATTCATGCGCGCGCGGATGTAATCCATATAATCAAATCAACATGGCCTAATGAGCAGAGGTGGCAATACTCACATCTTCCTTCTCCGGTAATATCTTCAATAGACCCCTGAGCTTTTCTGCACCAATAGTCTCACTGTCTCCCTTCTTCAGTTTATCGATGATCTCTTCGTTCGAACTACAAATAAAAGAGTCAGGAAACCGTTGACTTGGAGAAGTCTCTCAATTTTTGTTAAAGCATTGCAGACTAGAAAGGCGACATTTGCAAAGCTTGAATGTGTTTGAGTAATTCATACTCAAACACATTCATATATATCGTCAGACAGGAGTCTAAATCCCTCCTGCTATAAAATTGCAACATGATGTAACCCAACACTTGTTACCATGGTGACAGACGTCTGGTTTAGGTCATTGACCTTTTTGGTTTGGAGAAGAAGAGGAAACGTATCAACACAATATGTTTTCCTTCGGTAAACATGATAAAATCTTCATACAGCACATAAAATCTTCAAAAGCTTTTGTTACACATAAAAAGCAAACGATTTCACTCTTCAGATATGTTTGAATGGAAGGGGGGGTATAAGGCATAGGGGATGGAAGAGAAAAAAATTATCCTTACCATCTGAACTGCCTCAAGAAGATGTTGAGGTTCAAACTTTTCTTCGAGTCAAACAAAGCAACCTGTGGCACATACAAAATTCGATTTACATGTAGCTGGTGACAATGAAAATGTACAGGATCTGTCAGGTGAAATAGGTTTGGATTTGTATGGAAAATGTCAAGAAGAAACAAGAACTTACCTCATTTGTTTCTTTGACTTTCTTTTCTGGTCCTTCGGAATTATCCAAAGCGGGCTCGATGGCCTTTCCAGTAGCATTTGTCTGCCGAAATAGTTCCTCCAAACTTTCATAATCTACAGAGTACCCGTTTTCCTTAGAGTTAGCTAGCTGCGTCCATATATTGCGCTTTCCCTTCACTTGGTGTGTCGTCAATTTATTCCAGTTCAGTCTTCTCATTTTGTACTTTGGCTTGACGGTGGAGGTAGGGGTTTGGAGTAGGGGAGCACCGGGAGGGGGAGGCGGGCAGCCGGGGGGAGGCGGGGGAGCACCCGGGGGAGGAGGAGGAGGGGGAGGGCCTCCACCGGGAGGTGGCGGCGGTGGTGGAGGGGGTCCTCTACTGTCTGGAGGTGGAGGTGGTGGAGGGGGGACTCCACCGCTTGGGAGTGAGGGCGGTGGAGGGGGTCCTTCTCCTTCCCCTTCTGAGGACAGTGGGGTGGTAAATGGTGAAGCATCATCTTCCACTGGTGCTGGTGGAGTGAGTGAAGGGGTAGGGGTGTGGGTAGGGGTTGGTGAGGGTGGGTTAAGGTCTGAACCTGAAGCATCGGAGTCGGCTGTCGCAGTGTTGCCCATACTAGAAGCGATAGAAGCTTTCTGCCCGTTCCCAGCTGCTGCAGAGTTGTCTCCCCCAGCATGCCGTTCGGCCATAACTTTCTTCTCCACACCCTTCTCTAGCTTCCGGAGACCGGTCTTCAACATCCGGTCTGCCTCGGTCTCGTGTTCCAATAGCGTGGCGCGGTGCACCAGCTTCTCCAGGATCTCCCAAATGACATTGCTGATTGGGTCCTTCTTGTCCAATCGCAGGAGGTGCTGGAGAATGGCAAGAAACGACACGGCCTGGGGACCTTCACATACCTGCAACACATCAAAAGGAAAACACCTGTTCAGGGTTCACTTATGACAGTGTACAACCTACAGCATCCGCAATGGCATTGCAACACATGATGTGTCAGGGGTGAAATACTACGTTACATAACAACCTAAACTCGGCTACACTTCAGTCACAGAAATAACCTATAGTAAATAGAACGTATCGTTTTGGTTCTACCGTGCGCTTTGTAATCTAAAAGGAATTCAGAGACTACTGGTGGACATGTTAAAGCAATCTAGGTCACATTCCTTGAGCTTAAGATGCTGCACATCGCAATCAAGCAGAGAAGGGTGTCACTTATCAGCGGATGACAAGAGGTGTCACTGGTTACAAGTTTTGTCAACCTGGGTACGTCGATGAAGGTTAGACATCCAGGTAATACGATACGCCAAAAAGCAGTTACCAGTACTCAAGCAACTGGATATGATTTTGGAAACGGTCAGACGTTTCAGCATTTCTCCTCTGGTCTCACAGTCACTGACGAAAGCTAGTGGATACTATCTGAAACGTCTGACCGTTTCCAAAATTATATATCCAGTTGCTTGAGTAACTGCTTTTTGGCGTTTTGTTATGTCAACTTGTTTCGGAACGTTCGGTCTTGGGGTCTGCAGGACTTCAAAGCCACATAAAAGGTCGTTGCAGCAAATTCAGCAGAGTTCTGTCTACAATAACCGTGCAGTCTACCATAACCCGGAACTGTAGCCACCCGGAACACCACAGGGGCGTGAACATATCACACGTGTATCTGTCATTCAGAACATTTACATTGAAAGAACAAACTACAACTCTACACAACATTTCAAAGTCCTGGCAACAAGTTGAACTCGTCTTTCTCTGTGTAGGCATAGTTCAAAAGAAATTTGATATACACAATTGGCACAACATTTACTACAACACACTACCTGATGATGTAAGGCACATTCAACTCTAAAACAGTTCAAACAGAATACTCAAAACAGAATTAGTTACTTCTAAGCTCCAGCCCAATTTGCTGACTTTGTGGTTTTGACGTTGGAACGTTATGACGACTTTGATTTATGGATATGCTTTTGTTTTGACGCACCTTTGCCCACCTTTTGTTGTCTGAATAAACATGTAAACATGTCCTGTCCTGTGAAATTCTATGTTGGGCCCGATTGGAAAGCAGCTACTACTACTACCTGAATGAGCTACCCAGCCACTTTAAGATGGAAGAAATAAATACAAGTACATTGAAAATGCACACCAGTGTCCCAATGTCAGTGAAGTCTTTCGTCGACCAGGTAGGTTTTTTTATTCATCAAAACATGAAAACATAACAAGGACATTGTGACGCTGCACTCAAGTTTATAACTTATATTAACAGCGCCACACAACAAAAAAAGTACAATTAACATTTAAATACACAAAGTTGACATATCTGTGCGCCGTAGTCCCTCCACCGCAAGACATTAAAAATGATAATGCTAACAAGCTTCTAAGAAGCTTCATGTAGGATTATGTAGAATTGGGTTTAAACGATATTACTGCAATTACAGCGTTAGTTGCAATGAGTTGATGATGTCTTAGTGAACAAAACCTCTCTCTATCGACCAGGCAATGATGTGATCTTAGCATTAGCGCTTTCAATCAGGAAGCGATTTGGAGCTTAGCTACATGAATGAAGGTAACTCTTCATCATCAGTAGACTGTGCATGGGAATATGGTGTTACAAGGACGTTTTTTGTCAACTTTATCCATCTTATGTTTTGGTAATCCGGAAGCTAAATTGTGTAACTATCCTGGATATAGAATTCGTCCGCCATGACGTCCAAAAATAAAAGACGTCAACAACTTCCCAAAACTGTCCTGGATGCTCTGTACTACCTGGGGGTTCGATATCATCACAAAGGCTAGAATTTGTACAACTTTCTTGAATCTTACACTTGTTGTATTTAACCTTTTACACGGTAGTATTATCCTTTGCTTGTCTGTTTGGCTGGTATTCCTTCTTTTGAAAGGAGCAACCTATCTTTTGATCTGTTGTTGCGACATCACTGTTTTTAAAAGTCTGACCAAAAAGATGGCCCCTTGATTCGTACAAATATTTTTCTTGTATCTTATACCGGCACCTTGTTTTACAAGTAGTTACATGTTTGTTGTATATTCCTTTCATTGTCTGTTTGGCTGGTATTTTTTATCTGTTGTTGTGACATCACTGTTTTAAAAAAGCCTGACCAAAAAAGATGGCCCTTCGATTCGTACAAGTATTTTTCTTGTATCTTATACCGCGACCTTGCTTTACACGTAGTTACATGTGGTATATTCCTTTCATTGCCTGTTTGGCTGGTATTTTTTATCTGTTGTTGTGACATCACTGTTTTAAAAAGTCTGACCAAAAGATGGCCCTTCGCCAGGAAGTCGTCTGAGCTTTTGTACTAGTTGGACTCAATCTTCCATGATGTGTGCGCTTGACTGGCCGTCCTTACCTGTGCTGGTAATCATCACACATGGGTAGAACACGCCTCCAGCCTGCCGGAACGACCTAAAGCACCTCGCACAGAGACCCGATTGTTTACACGGTGTCCAGTAGCTGCTCGGCAAGGTACTTACGTCCCGTGTTCGAGTCCCAAAATCAGATAACGAGAAGACTGGGTGGTATCTCAATGACAGGTTCCCTTACAAACCTTCTCGAGGCAAGAAAAAGGACTGAGTCATCCAAGTCGGTGAGGTACAAAAGATAGAAATCTGTCAGTAAGACCGTGTTATGCTTTCTGTCAGTCAGGTCCGACCGGGCCGACATTGACGGGCAGCCACCCAGTGCCGGCAGGTCATCTCAGGTAGTGCCGCCGATCGCTTCACCGCTAAAACGCCATTTGTACCAGGCATGGTTATACACCTGAGATTGGCATGTTCAAGGATACGCCTTTGAGAGCCTACAGACCTGATTAGACCTTCCTCTAGCTACATCAACGTTGAAAATGACTTGGGGCTGATTGATGTGGATGCTACGACACCGGCTATGCTGCTTCTTTACAACGCATGACTCAACTAGAGTTAACAAGAAAAACGACAAACACAAAATATCCGCTGCAGTAACGTAGGGACCCCCCACGAGGACAATTTTTGAACTTAACCTCGGTCTCTACAACCGTAACCTGCCTGCCAAAAATTATGAACATCGAACTATGCCTTCAAGAGTTATGCCGCATAGTCTCCCACACTACAGCAAAGCGATTTCATAGCCTTCTAGACGAAGGCAATTACTACCAGATTCACTGATACGTGATTCAACTTTTAAAAGCCAAAGATTTATAGCCCCCGGTCAAGCACCATAACTGCCTGAAATATAATGAACAATTTCTCGTCGTGGGAGAAATGTAAACTGCAAGAAAAACCCCACATTTCCCCGTCGTGTCGGCGGGAAAGACTTGCCGTGTTGAGAAGTAGTTTACGGTCCGTGGAAGGGCATTTGGCGCGACGATCTCCGCATAAGAGAAAGACTTCAACCCTAGCCCCTCTGTGTAAACCGTTCTCTCCGTTTCCTGTTGTGCCATTTCGCAGTCTACTGATGCTTTACAGCTGCGGGCTTGATTCTGTTGCTTTTTGACGCCACTCTGATAGTTTTAAAGCAATCCAGTACGATTTCAGGGCAGCAAAACTGGAACTATTCTGTGATATTGACACATACTGCTTCACATTAGCACATGTCAATCAACATTTCAGAAACAAGCCCCAAGATGAGTCTTTTATTTTCTGGGTGGTACCCTAAAAGTCAGCCAAGGGCCATTCTAACCATTTTCCGTCAGAATTTGGGGTGTTTTTGCTCAATGAGGGTCAATAAACATTGGGAGTTACATGTATGTTGAACCCCATATGAAACACCAACTGTTTTGGTACACCAACTGTTTGGATTCCAGGGAACACTAGTAAATCTGTCAAAGCTCAGACAGCCCAACATGCAGGCGACTGGCGTGCAATATGTTCAAGTCTTTGTCGAACAACTTCGCGGTATCGTAAATTTGGAAATCGTTTGCAAACACTCCATCAGCGATGACACGGTGGAACAATAGAAGCCGTACTTGTCACGTATGATGTCTGAACACGGCTATCTGCCCCCAGGCCGACTCAACAGTCGGCTTACTTTCAGGTCAAAGGTCTCCGCTTGGTAAAAATAACAAACTTTCACTCATAGCTTCGAGATGGCTTCAGGCTTGAACAGGACGTCTTTGATGTTGCGACGTTTTTTTTTGTGCGCCAGCCACTTTTATTTCATGTTCGTTATTCATTTTGTATTTGTTACCTCAACTGGTATTTTGTAGGTTTTATGTTCTTGAGCAAAGGATCTTATAAGCTCGTACGTGCTTGCCATCCAATGCTCATAAATCCATGTGAATAAAATAAAAGAAGA